AATTGGCGCCACGTAGCGAAAAGAAGAAACGACTGGCGCGCTGTTGTTAGCTCGGCTATTATCGCGTAAGCGGTGTCTACGCCAATCAAGAAGAAGAAGAATGATGCCGCAGCAACCGTATTCCTCAGATCTGAAATTTTTTGAAGTGCTTCGAAGATTGGAATAACCGTTGGCACAAGTGTATACTATCTCATGGGCATTACTTTGAAGGGGACAAAATAAATATTAATGAAATAATTTGAAATAATTTTTGAAAAAGCATAAAATTCGCGATACTTTTTGAACACACCTCGTATGGGAGGTGGGCGTGGTTATTATCCGATTTCTTCCATTTTTGRACTGTATATGGAAATGCCTGAAGGAAACGACTCTATTGAGTTTGGTTGACACATTTATAGTATTTTCCGAGATATGTACAAAAAACTTAGCMAGGGTGGGGCCACGCCTACTTTTCCAAAAAATTATGTCCAAATATGCCCCTCCCTAATGCGATCCTTTGGGCCAAATTTCACTTTAATATCTTTATTTATGACTTAGTTATGACACTTTATAGGTTTCCGTTTTCGCCATTTTGTGGGCGTGGCACTGGGCCGATTTTTTCCATCTTCGAACTTAACCTTCTTATGGAGCCAAGAAATACGTGTTCGARGTTTCATCAAGACATCTCAATTTTTACTCAAGTTACAGCGTGCACGGACGGCCAGACATATATCCGGATTTCACCTCTACTCGTCACCCTGATCACTTTGGTATATATAACCCTATATCTAGCTCTTTTAGTTTTCGGACTTACAAACAACCGTTATGTGAACAAAACTATAATACTCTCCTTAGCAACTTTGTTGCGAGAGTATAAAATGAAGCCTCATAATGTATATCAAAAACTACTGCATCAATTTCCACGAAATTTTCCATTTATTCTGAGAACATTATTGCACATCTGATTCTTTCACTTTAAATCAACTACAAATGAAGAAATTGGAATAATTTTTCAAAATTTGTGTTTACAAGTTTTGGCATCATCTCACTCAGTCAAATTTGGACAACGACTTTTCAGGCCCTCGAGTCCGAGCGAGTCCGACGTCATATAAGCAGTGTTTTGTATGCTCAGGAGCTTAGCATGGATCAAAAAATCGTTTGGTGTCATTTAAATAAAGTTGGATAAGAAAAAAAAACGGTGTATGGGTGTCACAACATCACAAAAAATCTCTTGATTCGCAACAAACTCTAGGCGCTACTGAARCGGACTCGTACTTGTGTTGAAAAGTGAGCCACTTAAGACAACCTCGAGGTCAAATTATAGTGAACCAGTACCAACCACCTTATAGTTTGCACCTGACATCAAGTCATTACTTTTTGTTCATGTCTATGGCAAATCATTTTGCTGATGRAAAATTCGCCTCAACAGAAGATTGTAAAAATCGTATATCCCAGTTATTTTGCCAATAAGAGCAAGGATTTCTATGAGCGTTAGAAATCGAACAATTAGTTAGGAATTAAACCATTAGAGCGCAATATATATTTTTTTTAAATTAAGACGACCTAGGCTTTCAACATGCCTAACTTTCACTAACTCAATAAAAAATCATTATTACGACGTATTGCTTTTTTAGATATTCAATCTTTGAGGGGATCACATCCTTAGACAGACGTTATAAGTTTATGTGACATTCAAATACAAAAATAGTACTTTCCATAAGTAAAATAATAATATCTGTAATAATTTTCAAATTTTCTACATTTCAAGARTTTGAGTGCTCTTTAATCGTAATAAAACCGAATCGGTGTGACAAAAGAAACATGACAACATCATTTATCAGTGGAGTCCAATAAACAGTCATTTTAGTGGACTGCGCACATGATGAACCGGTTCTCAAGGGCGGAACGACGAAAAAGTCGGCAAGGTTATGACAAGAGTCTATTGCGATTTACGTCTTATAATATCCATCGACTGAATACACTAGTCAAAAAAAAAAAAATTTTTTTCTGTGTAACAAGAAAAATTTTGGCTGATTCTGTTCTGAATAAGGTCAAGTAGAGTATAATTAGTAGTCTAAAATTTTAGATACGAATAGTTTTATTGTAATATTATTTTTTTTCCATTTATTAAATTACAAATTATTAAAACAAATTAAATTGTTATCAATGTTATAATAATAAAATTTATACTTTTCCCTGGTATCGTTTTTATATGGTAAAAATGCCTTTTTGGAATCATTCCCGATGTTCATAACTAGCGGCACTCAAGTTTGGTGGAAAAAAATCTAAATTTGAATGTAAAAAATATTTTGTTAAAGACATATTGCAGCCTAATGCTTTATAATTCTCTRGAAGTTCYTCAACAATAACTTTATAGTCATTTGATCGGTGATTTCCGAGAAATATTTTRGTGATTTTTATAACTTGTCACTTGCCTTATTTGAGGACCTACAAACACGCCCATGCAGCGCCATTTTTATCCATTGCTTTTACAAAAGCGAGGTGGTAAAAATAAAGCTTCAGGTTATACTAATGGAGAATGTTTTACACTATTTTTATTGCTGGAGTAAGAGATCGYCTTTTGCACCAAATTTTCTTCACGTAAGGGTTCTTCCTATCCATACTGTCCCATTCACAATGAAAACAACATTTTGTATACCCAAGTTGCAATCCTAATAAAAACGCAACAACTTTTAAATCTCCGCAAATTTTCCATTTATGTTCGTCATACTGAATCTTTTATAAAAGAAATTTCATTGTTTCAAGGATTCTTTCATGTTAGCACCATAATCAACCGGTACGGAGGGAAGACACATTATGTAACAAAATTGCCTTTGAGCTTGTTTTTGAAGAATCAATAAATAAACGCCACTCTTCAATTTTGTGCYGTGATCCCAAAATATTCATAACRTCACAGACACTGTTACAAAATATCAAATTATTATCTTGTGAAAGAAGCTTTTTAACTCTTCATCTCGATGCCGAAAAAAAATTATWTTKGTGTTTGGTTGCAATAAATTCCATCCTTTYAATCGAGATTCTAAAAGTTCTCCTTGTTGTTTAGACAAGTGTAAATCACGAACTAAATCATTAAGATCTCCTTGAGATAGTAGGTGTGGCGTTTCTTCCTGGGGACAGATAGTTAAAGAAGCAATTTGAAAATCAGGATCAGTTCTTATATTATCTGTTTCCTCTGATTCAGTTGAAAGATTAGAGCGTTGAGGTGGTTTTGGTGTWGATAGTTCTTCACTGTGAGGAATTKKTTTTTTAGCACATGATACTTAATTTGTTTTTTAGTTTTAGTTATAATACCTTTTGTATTAGTCAAACAAAAATAAAAACTAGTTGAATGGTTTGTCGGCTCCATCCAAATCATCGGAATTCTTCAACAGATATGTGGAACTTTCATATATTTTTTTATTAAAGGTGTTAAATTTCTTCGTTGAGATATTTCACCACAAATGTAACAGAACTTGGCAGGATCATTTTTATACAAGGACAAGGCGATTAATATTAAACTTTACTGATAAGTACCGGAACACGGAAACTGGTCCTAATAAAATCAATATACGTATAATTTTGTAGAGAGGTTAGGTAGATGTTTCGAAAGTAATGCTTACTTTTTTTGTTACAAAGTTTTTGTTACAAAGTTTTGTTGATCAGCGTTACTGAGCAAGTTCCAATCTATTGCACTGCATACTTGATTGCAGTTCAATTCTACTATTCTAAATATTTAGAAATTATATTATTTTTAATACTAACTAAAAACAATGTTAGTACATTAGGGGTGTTCTTTTGCTCTTGCAAATCAGTTGCACGGTGCAAGAATTGCAGATTTTTCCACCTAATACAACGGCACAACAACACACGCAGAAAAATATTTGCAAGGGCTGTAAAATATGTCAGACCAAAACCCACGTTTATTTGCCATGCACAATAGTCATTTACAATAAATTGACCGATCAGCCGTTCATATATACTCTCGTGCCCTTGTATATTTCGGTATAGGATATTTGCAATCAGCAATCTTGCAAGATKSCTGGAAATCCAACGCAGGATAACTCTTGCCAACAGGTGYTACTTCGGACTGAGTAGGCAATTGAGAAGCMAAGTCCTCTCTCGACAAACAAAAACCAAACTCTATAAGTCACTCATAATACCCGTCCTGCTATATGGTGCAGAGGCTTGGACGATGACAACAACTGATGAGTTGACGTTGCGAGTTTTCGAGCGAAAAGTTCTGCGAAAGATTTATGGTCCTTTGCGCGTTGGCCACGGCGAATATCGCATTCGATGGAACGATGAGCTGTACGAGATATATGGCGACATTGACATAGTTCAGTGAATTAAAAGACAGCGGCTACGCTGGCTAGGTCATGTTGTCCGAATGGACGAAAACACTCCAGCTCTGAAAGTATTCGRCGCWGTACCCGCCGGGRGAAGCAGARGAAGAGGAAGACCTCCACTCCGTWGGAAGGACCAGGTGGAGAAGGAMCTGGCTWCGCTTGGAATATCCAATTGGCGCCACGTAGCGAAAAGAAGAAAAGACTGGCGCGCTGTTGTTAACTCGGCTATAATCGCGTAAGCGGTGTCTACGCCAATTAAGAAGAAGAATCTTGCAAGAGCAAGAGAATCCTACTATTGTTTTAATAAATCWCGTAGCCTGCGCTGCAATGTAAGCGGAAAAATGTAATTATCACATTAGAAATCTCAAAACCTCAAAATTACAGTATTTCGCCAATACTGTTGGAGTATGTCGGAACATACTTGTATAAACYTTCCTCTTCAATCACTCTATCCATTAAAGAACACCGTCTCAAAATCCGTTGCGTAGCTTTAAAAATTTAAGCATACATACATAGGACATAGGGACAGAAAATTTATATTCATTTTATACAATGTGTTGATATTGAAATTATTGCTATAGATACTTGGTTAACAAATATTTGTAAATCTTTACAGCTCAGGAACCTAAGTGGAGTTTGGAGCGACGTGAGTCGTCGGGTCACTTGGTTTGGCGGAAGGAATCTCCCAGTTCTAAAGTACGTTTTCGGTTTGATGTTGAAGTATTGGAATTTGAGAAACATCCCCATGAAGATATCGAATACAAAAAAGGCGGATATTCTGCTAGTAATATTACGTCAACTATAGCACTCTGTGCTACATGTGTTGCGGCGGTGGCTATTAGCGTTTTTTTACCATGGTATCTTATGGATAAGGCGCTATCAAGGGGTTCATAGTTTCATTCTTTTATGGTGCATTTGAATTTATACACATATCTAATCCTATATTTACACATCAATATTGTTCTAGACCGAGGGAACGAAAATGTATACACGTTGAACATATTAAGCGAAGTTATACTTATCGAATCTATTTATGTTAAGAGAAACCCGCTCTGTCACTATCGTGCGATAGAAAATTCGTAGATATACATCATCGGAACAGTATAAATAACAACTTCAATTAAAAATTTCGAACATATAATAAAACTTACCGGATAGCATAAATTTAATGACTCGCAAATTTATATATATGAATTTACGCTTAAATATTTATATGTCAAACATTATAATTAGTATTGTACAAAGATAAGTGCCTTAAAATTAATTAAGAAATATTTAAAAAAAAAATTATTAAAAAGTATATTAATTTTGAAACTAGTGAGATTAATCTGTGATCTTAAGAGCATCGCCCAATATCAATATTCACCGATGCTATAGACTTATTAAATACTGGTATTTTATGTATGATTTTCAATGAATAAAATCTTTTACTTACGATACAAAACTTAATAAAATATGAATTTTTATTTGACAACTTCTTGTTTTACAACCTTTTGGYAAGAATATGATTAATAAATCAGAAGTTGGCCAAAACTAAGAAAAACGTTAAGCGAATAATAGATTTCGAAATAGATAATAATACAATATTAATCCACTTGGCACTTAAAAGATCGTCTGTGAAATTTTCGAGAAATCGATTTTTCTTTTGTTGCATTAGCGGATACACTATAATAAACATTCTCTYAAATTTTTAAACCGAAGTGCAAATTATYAAGGTCGCTAAAGCGTTTCTTTTAGAAAGGAAACATAGGGGGSAACACTGCAACTCCAATCTTTAAACTCAAAATGGTGTTTCTTAAAACGGTTTCCACTCTCACAGGAGAGTTTTGAGTTTATCAAGTTCCAATTTGGAGAGAACACTTTCAACGTCATTCGCCATCACGCTATGGAAGCTTTAATTTTTTTGGAATCTCAGTATTTTTTTCTACGAAAAACTGTCGAAAAAATGGGTCAAATTCGACACTTTTTGATTAAACCAGCGCTATTTTTTTTTTTTTTGAAATAAAAAAAAACACAAAAACAAAAAAAAGAGTCGATTTGGACCAAAATTCACCTTTTTTATGTGTCATTTTAACAATTTATTTAACTATTATAACCCCAATAAATAACCATAAAAAAATCATTTCGTATTCGTTATGAATGTATTTATTTATACAAAAAGTCCATCTAAGAAGATTATTGCGAAATAATATGTGTCAAGTTTTTGGCGAACAAAAAAAAAAATACTGAGAAAATTTAATTTAAGCTAAACATTCTTCAAACTGGTTAACTTGTTTAATTTAAAAGAATACATCCTAGGGTCATAATTGCTGATTACAGAATAAACTCAAAAAAGACGTTTGGCCAAGCTACGCGAATTTAACGATATAATAACTAAAGTAAGTCCCTTGGCAACAATAAAGAAAAACAATAAGAGGCCTGTTTTAAGAAAAATCACAAATGATGAAAGTAAAAAAGGCAAGCAAATCGCTCTCCTTCTACTCAGCTGAAAAAAACGATTAAGTATCCGTCTCCCGGATTACTTCTGGTACTACTCTATCCAAAAACCTATTTTCGGAATCTCAAGCATTAAAAAAAAAAAAAAAAAATAGATAATTAACTGTCAAATAAAGCTAATATTACAGTTTGTTTTTGAAGCACGATTTGTGCGCCATCTTGTTCATAGAATTAATAATAAAATTACATAATAGACTATATACGAAATAAAAATAAAAGAGCTAATTTCATATCAGATGAACGACCATTAGCGTTGGTGCTCTGATGGGACATTTATTAAGGCATACTAGGGCTTTGTCATCCGCAAAACTGCAAAAGTTGTAAAGAGTTGGAATGTCTACTGTATATATACACTCCACTTAAACACACCCCGGTAGGCATTCCAATTGGTTAAAACTTTTGCACAAACGACATCTGTCAAATATTAAAATACACACGTTCTTATGAACAGAGTTATTTTGACAGCTGYACGACTACACGACTGCAAGCCGTCAGTTGTCGCTCTGGCTAACTTCAATATTTTCTTATATTTGAATAYGACAGTAGAGTTGAGAGTMGAGAGATGAGGAAGAGTGATGATGCCACTAATATGTAAAATGTAGAATTATTCAAAGCTCTAACAAACCTGACGTTACTTTACAAATAAAAGCATAAGATAGCTGTATTATATTGTTGGAAGGCAAYCCTGTCAACTCACATATTCATGCAGCCCTGCATTTTTCATTTTTTACTTTAAATGTACTTTTTCTAACTCACTTGCGTTTTGACTTTGAACCAATAAACTTCATTTTTGTACTTTAATATCAAAAGCAATATTACAGAACCGTTTTATTTGAACCGGGAATATTCCACAAGGTACGACCTTCCAACAGGTTATGGGCCCAGGTGCAAATTTCTGGGAGCCGAGTAAAATGAGTTCGTTTYTTARTATTGAGAAATTAGATGAATCTAATTACGATTCGTGGTGTCTACAGCTGCAAAGTGTTCTAGTGCATCAAGAATTATGGTCCGTTACGTGCGGAGAGACTGCTTGTCCAGTTCAGRGTGCAGATGAGAAAAGCGTGTTACTTTGGAAAGCAAMGGATGAAAAAGCAAAGGCCACAATTATCCTTAGCATAACACCTATGCAAATAAGCCATATTAAAACCTGCAACACAGCGAATGATGCATGGAAGCGATTAAAAGAGGTGCACATACCAGAAGGTCCGGTAAGAAAAGTAACATTGTTTAAGCAGCTAATTGCTACTCGAATGGCTGATGAAGAGTGTATTCAGCAATATGTTTGCAAGTTTACAACACTCGCAGAAAAACTAAAAGAAATTGAAGTTGACTTGAAAGAGGAATTGATTGTTATTATGCTACTGGCAAGCCTTCCAAAAAGCTTTAAAAATCTGGTGGTTGCTTTAGAATCGCGTGATACGCTACCATCTCTCAATGCAGTTAAAATCAAGCTGATAGAAGAAGGCGAACGAAGAAAAATAAGCAATTCTATATATACCGAAAGTATGGCGCAGGCGTTCATTGCACAAGAAAGCACATGCGGTGAAAAAAGGTGTTTGGGTAACGCAAAGTCAAATGACACAGCAAGTTCAAATAGCAAAAGCAATGGCAAAAGCACACGATCGAACCTCAAATGCTATTTCTGTGGGAAAAAAGGCCATTTCGCCGCACAATGCAAAGAGAAACAACGAGAACATTCTATGCAGAAAAATATAAAGAAAAATGGTCCGTTCGTCGCAATCAATGACCGATTTTTACATAGCGATGCTTGGTGCGTCGACAGCGGCGCTTCTTCACACTTATGTTGCAACCGCAACATGTTCGATAAGTTTGAGACATGTGAAGAATCAATCATGCTGGCGGGCGACAATAAGATGACAGCAACAGGCAAGGGGGTTGTTAGATTAAAAACAAAGAAGTTTGACGTCACACTTGTTGATGTTCTCTTCGTACCCGGCTTGCAATGCAACTTYATATCAGTTTCAAAAGCAGTAAGCAGCGGCTACATTGTRGAGTTCAAGCAARAGACAGCGAAAATTATGGACAAGCACGGTTCAATTATATTAAGTGCTAGCAAGGTCAGTGATTTGTATTTACTAGAAACAAATAAAAAAAATTGTATTTTTCGAGGAAAACTATTGATGATGCGATGAAGTGGCATAAGCGTTTGGGTCACTTAAATTTTGAAAGTCTACGGGAGCTGAATAACAAAAACATGGTGCTTGGTTTAAAGCTAAAATTATCAGCAGATGTGAATTGTACTTTGTGTATGTCTAGCAAATGCAGTCAACGGCCGTATCAAAGTGCAYTAAATTCAGCAGCAGAAGTGCTGGGAGTGGTACATACCGATGTGYGCGGCCCTATCAACAAAACGTCTATCGGCGGTGCGCGGTATTTTTTGACATTCACCGACGATAAAACTCGCTACATTTTTGTTTATTTTTTGCGACACAAAGACGAGGTGTTTGAGAAATTCAAAGAGTTTAAGGCAATGGCAGAGTGCCAAACAGGCA